ACTAATATATTACTGAAGAAAGCGGATCACAATCAATTTTTAAAGTATAAGTCCTGGTAAATAAAACGTATGTACTAATGTTCAAAAAGTCATTTAAATCATAGTATTATAACTTTTCTTTTTTTTTTTCAATTTGCTTAGTTTTTTTTTTTTGCTTTTTGAGAAAAAAACAGTATGGTGCTAGAAAAGTTCATGTTTAAAAAATTCCAATGAAAAAAGAGACAAATATAAATTTTTTTGATTTTCAAATTGAAAAATGTATTTAAAAAACTTTTCTTATGATCTTAAAAATTTTTATTTATAAATCTAGCGCGATGAAAAACAAAATAATAAGAAAAAAATTGACTCAGCTAATTTTTTGATTTTTCATGGAAAAAAAAATTGGAGTCCGATTTTATTAGCATTGTTACCGTATTTTTAGATTATAACTGAAACAATATGTTGTTTAATAATTAATTTTTTTGATATCATTTCTTAGATAAATTTTTTATAGAAATTTTTGAATAACTTTTTTTTTGTTTTGAAGCTTCATAAGTAAATTGTACAAATAATTTTTACATTTATTTAAATTCTTTAGTGTTTAAATTATTCAATATTGATTTGAAACAAAAAACTAAAAAAAAAAAAAAAAACAATATGCGTTAAATCGTGATATAGAGGGGTCGGGTCATCTACCTTCATTTAAGTGTGAGAATATGAGTAAATATTTTTTTCCATGTGAGTTATTAGCGAAAAAAAAAGGTTGACTTAGGTAGATCGTCGTAATTAGCCTGTATAGAAATAATAAAAGTGTGTATTACTTTATTTCTCTTTTAACTTGTAATTTATAATTCTCGCGCAATATCCCGCTAATATGTATATGTGATTTTGAGAACCTTTACATACTTACGTATGAGGCTGAGACTTAAAATATCCTCTCATTGATTCACGTTTTACAAAAGATATGTAGATATTAGCAAAGAATACCCATACATACTTACTACCTTGCTTGTACCGTACTGGGATTATATTAAGGATGTATACGTAGTCTTATTGTAAAAAGAATGGAGTTGAGTTAAGGTGATGGAATGGAATGTAGTTTAAGTTGGTGTGTGTGTGTGGGTATAAAGTCGATAATTATTTATATTATGATTGTGTCTGCAAATCTTCAGATAACAATAACTGATTTTTACCCCCAATTCCGTTACTAATTATATTTATATTTCTATAAATTCATAACTTTTCCCAAAATTCTTAAAATAATGGATGTTTGCACAAGTTAACCAGCTATTTGATTTGTCGGGCAAATTTATTAGAAAGGCATGTATTGAGAAATAAATTATTGCTAAATGATGAGGATAGTAAATTATGTTTTTGAATTAATAAAGTTAAGGTAATTATAGGATACGCATGAGAAAGAAAAACAGAATAGAAAATAAGAATGAATGAATGAAAAAAATGAGATCATACGCAAAGGCACAGAAGAAGAATCAAGTGAATTGAAGACAGTTATAAATTAAATAAATGAATTATTTAATTTATGAAAAATTTTGATTTTCCAATACATTATAAATTTTGATGTAATTAATAAATTTTTGAAATTTTCTTTATAATTAAGAATCATATAATTTCTATTTAACTACCCTTATATTAACTGTTTACTTTACAAGTTTATTTGTAACAACTTTATTTGTACTAATACTTGCAGTCAAAATAAATTTGTAGCTGAATTAAAATCTGAACATTTTTTTCTATTTTTTCTAAAATTAAGAAGAAATGTACCTCAAGATGATTAGACATTCACGTTTTTTATAAAATATAATATTCTAATGATTTATTATAGTAGATTATCGCGAGCATATCTTTTTTCAATATCTTTAACATTTGCCTATTTGAGCCATTTTGAAATTCACCAAGCGGTAGTAGGATTTTATAAATATTGTTATGATTTACTTAATAAGATTTCGAATTATTGAAGCTTCATATATTTTTAAATTAAAGATACGAGTGTGACGCAGCCTTGACCGACACTGGATTCGGAAGATGTATTACAGATATTGTATCCTGTAGAGTATGTGCAAGTGTCATATACTACACACATTAAAAGCAAGTACATGAATATATGTAGTCGTACATAACTGCGTTCTTTCACTTGTACGTGAGCTTAATTTAACGCCTTCGTGGTTCATCTTACTATCTCTTATCTAAAGTTGTCCCAATACGAGAATGAACTTGAATGGCCTTAAATTCTTAAAGTGGGGGTAAAGAAATTACATGTTATATGAGTATATGAAGTAGAGGGATTCATTCTTTTACTAAGACAAGTATACTTAAATTATATTTTCAATTACAAACTGCAAATCAGGATTATTGATACATGATTGATTATTTTATTATCTTCTTGTGAGGAAGAAAAGATGCTTATTTTTAAATACTTTTTTATTTAATTTATGAATATACATTGGAAACAAATAATTTTTAAAAATCAATAATGAATAATTTTATTGCAAGAAGTTTGTTCAATATTTTAATGAAGATACTCTGAATGAAGAGAAGAGAAAAAATATAGTAAAATAAGAATTCCAGTGTATTTACCAGGTGGTACGTCGGCTCGTCGCCTCGGGACGATTAACCTGACCCAGAAAGCCAGCCGGAACTGTTGAAGGAATCAATGACCTTGGCACGAGTGGATACCCGCTACCTGGTGAACATCGGGGGGGACTGCGTTCACGTTCATGTTCACGTTTAGTTAAGTTTCTTACACCTTTAGTTAATTTTATTCTATTCTGTCCTATTGTCTTACTATTTACGTACTTTTTTTGTTTTTTTTTTTTTTTATTTTAATTTTTTTTTTCTTGGCTTTAGTTTTACCAGGGAAATTCCGAGTGCCGGGTGTTGCCGATTTAAACTTGGCATGCGCACACCCGCCGCGAGGTCGTTTGCCCGTTCTATTAAAATTACGATACTTAATCTTATAACTTATAAGTCAATTGTGTATGCAACTAACACTATAAATTTTTGTAATTAAATAAATACAGAAAGTTATTATTAACGAAGCCAATAAAACAGATTTTCGCTAAAGGAAAATGATTTTGGTTATTTGGCATTTTAATGAAGAATAATTTTTTATGGTCTTATAAAATCAATAATAACATTTATTATTTATTTATTTGTATACATATAATTGAAAAAAGGAGCATCAGAAATTGTGGTAATTGTTTGAAAATAGTAATTATTTTTAACCCAACGTTCATTTATTTTTCTTACTTAAAATTGATATAAAATAGTACTGAATTGCTAGACTTCTTTGGACGAATATTATTAATGATTTTCAGTATGCATACTCATTGAATATTGTCTTGATTTGAGAGAAAAAAACATTTTAATCGAGATCATTTCATAGAATGTTATTATTTTGAATCAAGCAGAAAGTTTATTGAATAAAGAAATTTTCCTCGGTTTAAGTAAATTTTACTTGATTCAAAAACATTTCTGTTTCATTAAATACAATGAAATCCTTCAAAATGATTTTCTTAATTCAAAATTTTTTTTTCTTAAATCAAGTCAATTTTTTTATGAGTCCACTTCATGTTTTTTAACATTGAAAGTTTCAAAATTAAGTGAAAAATTTGTTTGACTATTTTCATAATTATCTTTTTAACTGCGCCGTGAAAACGAAAAATTAAAAAAAAAATAAATATCGCCAAAAATAGGGTGTTCTCCACTTCCAAACAATTACGGAAATTAAGTTGTAGCGTTTTGTTCACCGATGGTGGCGTAATGTTATCGCAGTATAAAGTTATAAATTGAAATTTTCGTCTAAAATTACAGAAAAAAAAACGAAAATTGCCATTCACAGTTTAGGGATAAAGATTATTTCAAACATAACTTCTTAAGATTTTTTTTTCATTATATTTACTTGCGAAAAGGGTATTCAAAGTACTACCATATACAAAAAAAATGTATAAATTTGAATGTATTTTTCAAATAAATTATAGAACTAAATCTAATCAATTGATCTATATATGATAAAATATCTTAAATTACTCGAAGAAAAACAAATACATCAGAGTAATTAATTAAACATCAGAGTATTAATTAACATGGATTAGATTTGAAAGATAAATACTTGAGAGGGAGATTTGAAATTGTGCAAAAATATAATATAACGGTGTTGGAATGTTGAATTTAGGATTTATGTAAATCATATACATAGTTTTAAAGATGAGACACATATATGCGACTCTCGTTCAAGCTGCTTTGTGTCGATTTCACTAGTGTGGCCGGATACGGGGGATCTTATTGGAACGCGTCGAACTTATAAGCGCCCGTATGGAATTTTAAAATGACACCGGCATTCTTTTACCAGACTTTTACCTTTAACAGTTAATGACGCACCTTCGATGCTATAAGTAAGTATTTCAGAGCATTCTTTACATTTTTATACAAAAATAATAATACATGCGTAAATTCTCTACAAAAATTACAGTTCACTATTTTTTTTATGATTTATGTTTCGTAAATTTATTGTACTGTCGTAACAAGTCGCTTTAATAATAGATATTTCGCTCTGACTACGAATCATTAAAGACATTAAAGATATCAATGTGGAAAATATAATTATATTACAAATACGAAAAATTTGTTTCAAAAAAATATTGAAAATTTTCTCTGACATTTTTTTATGTTTCAAGTTTTGTCATTAACATCTTCAAACATACAAAGTTTGAAATATGGAGACTATACACGGTATAGTCTCCATTGTTTGAAAATTAAATTAAATATAATTCAGCCCTCAATATTTGAAAAATTACCATCAGAGTAAAACTAGTTTCAAAGCAAACCGTTTTGGCGCTCCTGTACATTTTCTATTATTTCTCGAGTTTTCGATAGCACTCCCTGTAACCTAAAAATAAAAATTAATCATTGGTGAGTTTTTTTTTACGTTACAATAAAATAATAATTGATAAATCATCATAAAGACTTTTTTTAATTTTAGCAGGACTAAATAAATATCAAATATGAAGGATTGTTGTGTTTGCCAAGAAAACAACTCAATTTATAAATGTCCAATCTGTGTTCAATTTTAGTAAGTTTGTTTATTTTTAACAAAGATTTTTTATTCATGAGTGTTTTTGTAGCAAATAAGACGTCTGACAGTTATGAAAATTAAATTAGCCGACATTTTTAAATTTTTATAATTTGTTTTATTGAAAAATTATTAAAAAAGAAATTAAAAGAAAAAATTACACACACAGAATGTTTGAAAAACTACAAGTACAATTTTTTAAAAATATTGTTTTAGACTTAATTTAATTATTAAAATAAATTAAAAATTGTTGAATGTCGGCTAACTTTAATATCATCTGACAGTTTAATTTTTTAAAAAAATTTATTTAATGCCAAACTAATAACAAAAAAAAAAAAAAAAAAAAAAAAAAATAAATAAATAAATGCGCTAGAAAATTAGAAAAAAAAAATGCAATTTTTCGGATTTTTTTTACCATTATTCAATTTAAAGCTGTATTAAATTTTAATTATCTGCTCATTTCGCACTCGTTTTTATTAACATATTTATTAAATTTTTAAATCCATTTTAGTTGTTCAGTGACTTGTTGTAAGTCTCACAAGGAAGCTGGCTGCGAAGTTCCACTGGCCAAAGTATCAGCAGAGCCTCATGAATCTATTAAATATAATTTTCCCACCGAAGACACAGTGCCGCGGGAAAAACTAGAATTGCTTGGTCACAGTGAAGAAGTAAAAAAATGTTTGGAGAATCCCCATGTTCGTGATATTGCTCAAGCTATACTAAACAATCCGAATCCAACAAAAGCAATTGCTTTAGCTATGACTGAGCCCATTTTTGTTGAACTCGCAGACGCTTGTTTGAGAGTCGTCGAACCAATTGATGTAAAAAATACATGAATGTATTTATTATCTCTTTTTTTTGTAACTTGTATATAACTAATGATAATCTTAAATTATATTTATTAATTTTGATAAATTTATTATGTATCTATATTATTTTTCTATATAAAAACAATTAGTAATTTTAATAATACAATAGTCAATTGGGTTCCAGACAATGAACAGGATTATTAGCAACATAATACTCTAAATCTGCTGGTGGGTTTTCGCCATCAACTTCTAGGCCCAGAGCATGGTATCGTTTTCTAACGTGATAAGCTGCCATTTTTGGTTCTCTATTTCTTGTAAATATTCCTTTTTTATTACCACCCACTCTTGTATACGCTGCAAAAATTTAATGTTATTTATAATGTTTAGCAAATTATTTTTTTCAAGTATAGTAATAATGTCTACGAACTTTGAGCTGTTCGGAAGTCGGCAAAGTTCCAAATGAATTCGCCAATGAACCAGTTCTGTTGCCGTAAATAGTCAAAGGCCAAAAAGTGTCGAGAGAGAAGTGCAGTTTGATATTCTTCACTCCAAACGTATTCAGGAAACTGCAAATTAGTAAATGAAAACAAGTCACTTATTTATAAATCAGTGGAATCTTAAATAATTTAATGACCGGCTGGAGAATGATGAATCTATAATTTCTTTTCATTATACTCGAATTTTTGAATAAGTTGCAATCGCTTAATGATATTATATAATTTATTATCAATATTTATTATTTCTTTAAATTATCTAATTTTTCTTTCTCAATTTATTCCCTTATCTATCCACAAAAAATCATCTTCAAGTGCAACACTGTCTAAAGTATATAAATATTTGAATCAAATCCCTAATTATTGATACTAATAACTTCAAGTAGGCTTCGTGTTTTTAATTATATTACCTTGCTATTTTTATATTGAAAAGTGTTTGATAACTTAAGAATTCTAAACAACGATGAAAAACAATGTTACAAGGTACTCTATAAGATCCTCAAAGTCCAAATGTAATTATGATCACCTGACGAAGCAAAAAAAAAAAATTTGCAAAACGTTACGTAAAATAATGAATAATGATATTTATTAATTGACCAGCGTGGATCAGTAAGATTTTTTGGAAGTAAAAAAAAAAAAAAACTAACAAATGGGATAAATATTGAAAGAGATAATTGTCAAAAATATTTGGAATTTAAGTTAGGTTGATATCATAACAAATAATACTAATTACTATCTAAAAACACAACTTAGTGATGGCTCGTGAAGCGATCAAAAGTGGAATTTATTATTTATTTATATAGATTATTTTTCTTAGGAATCATGAATCATGAAGTATGAACATGAATAATTATGCTCGAATTCATGTTTATGAATTTGATTTTTTGTAGATTGTATTATAAAATGAGAAATTTTCATTAATATATTGACTTGCTTCGCTCACTTAATAATTATATCGTATAATTAAATTAATGAAAGGTCTCAGGGCAAATTTCACTCACAAATATAGAGATATTGCATCGAATAAATTAATAAAAAATGAAATTTAGTTTCTTCACAAACTGTATTACTGTTTTTTCAAAAATTATATTAATGTAGCACTAATATAATTTTTATTTGTTATTTTCAAAATAAAATTTATTCATAAAGAGATGATTATAAATAAAAAAATTTTCTTACTTCATGTAGGCCTGGCATAGTGTCAGCACCATACTCAGACATAAGCACAGGTTTATTGTATTTTTTATGCCACGCTTCAGCTTCATTAATAACATTGTCAGTAATCATGTCCAATCTTCCAGTGTTATGATACCAAGAGTTATATCGATTAAAACTAATAATGTCTAAATATTGTCCCACTTTATCCTCACCAACCCCACGTGCTAAAGCCGCTGTAATTGGTCGGGTTGGATCTATAGCCTTGGTATGTCTTACTATTTCTCTGAAATACTCATCAGCATCTGGAAGCTGGGTTCTTGGTTCATTGGCAACAGACCAAGCAATTACAGAAGGCCTATTCTTATCTCTACGAATAAGCTCGGAGATAGAGGTTTTGTGTAACGTTAACAAAGCGGGTGAAAAATTTTCTGTGTCTACCGACGGGCACTCGTCAATAATAAGAAACCCTTGTCTATCTGCCATGTCCATAACTTCGTCGCTGTAAGGATAATGACTTGTTCTGTAGGCATTAGCTCCTACCCACTTCAGCAATTCATAATCTCTGGTCATGGTAACAAGATCTAATCCGCGACCTCGTAATACAGAGTCTTCGTGGCGACCAAATCCTCTCAAATAAACTGGCTTATCGTTCAGCAATAAACTTTCATTAGTCCACTTCAAAGTTCTTATTCCTACTGGAAGTCTATAGATATCAGATGTTGTTGAATTTTCGACAGATACTGTCACTTCAAGAGTGTACATATAACCAGTGAGTGAACTCATGCCTCGAGGCCACCATAGTTTTGCATTTTTAATTTTAATCGTTCCTGAAAAACCCTCAATTATTCGATCATTCATTAATGTTCCGTCTTGTTCACGTATCGCTACAGTACACTTTAATAGTTTTTGTTCCGTGGCACCTCTAGCTTGAATAATGTAATATATTATCCCTGTATCTCCAGATGTATCTGTGTTGATGGTAATATCTTCAATGTACACCCGAGGTGTAGTATAAAGTAAAACTGGTCTGTTTTTAAAATTAATGTAGTATTTATAAGTAATTAAACTACTTTATTTAATGAATTATGATGAATTTTTATTTCAAGTTACCTGTGGATTCCAGCGTAGTTGAAAAAGTCAAATGAATATGATTGTATCCAAGCAGTTCCATTATCAACATGAGTCTCAGTAAGCTTACCTTGTGGTACACTCGTCTGCAGAAGTGTATTATCAACAGCAACAGTGATTCGATTTTTGCCACTGAAAATTAGATAAGATGATATTTCAGCTTCAAATGGTAGGTGTCCCATTTCATGGTTCGTTACCAGTTCATCGTTCAGCCACTGGAAATTTATTTTAATTATGGATTTATCATAAAAATCAAATTTTCTTGAATATGCGATGAAAATATGTTAGTTTATCTTAATTTGAGAGTCTTTTCCTAAACTCAGTTCATTTCAAAAAATTTTAAGAAGTTGCTTTAGATTTTTAAAATCTTTGAAAGTTCAATTTTTTTTGTTTTCAATTCTTTTTCTCGATATTTTGATTTCTATAAGTTGCTCACAATTTAAAAAATTTTCCAAGTAGTAATTTTTAGAATTTTTCGAGTGATTTAAATTAAGGAAATCAAAATATTAACTTAAAACTTTCAATAAATATGTAATTTTTAACATAAACAAAGATACAATAACAATAAAAAGTATTAAAAAAAAAAAAAAAAAAGATTCAAATTCTGATCATTTTGGAAGTATATGACGACCCTTGTAATTTTTTAATCAAGCTGATTTTTGGAAATACATCTCAAAATAGAATAAATTAACGTATTTTTATGGATGACAAAAAAAAATATTCGTTTCTTTGTGCTACCATAATGAATCGTTACATTCATTACATCATTACAACAATGAATTAATCGAGGACATTAACTTTAAAGAAAAAGCATTAATAAATAATAATAATAATATAATTACCATTTGAGCGAGATAATTAACCGAGCCAAATCTAATAAAAACTCGTTGGTTTTTCCATGAGAGTGGGACGAAAAAAGTTCTTTGATACCAGACTGCACCAACATGATCTCGTAATTTTTGGGATGTTGTTATGTCGTTGTAGGATGATGGTACGGGCATTTGCATGGTTTCCATTGTCTATTGAACATTTTATTTATCATATAATATTATTCTTATTACTAACGTATTATATTTATAATCTATTAATTCTATTTTACTTGAGATAAGTCTCCTCTGAACCAGTCATCCTTACGCTTTACTAGCTTCTCATTAGATAACACTCCGAAGTCCCATAATCCGTCTAGTGACCTCACCTTAATAAGATAATAATAATGTTTAAAATAAATAATTTTTAATTCAATTGAATCTTTCATGGATATTATTAAGTTTCAATACTTCTCGAGATTCACTTTCACGTGGATATAAAAGCCCAGGTAATACTTCAGGTACTTCAACTGTTGGTGGTTCCATCTCGAATACACCTTCGATGTTGGCTATTTCGATATCAGCGAGTGTTTGAAATATGATCAACGCTGTTACGAACGCCGATAATAACTGCATTGTTACTATCGTCCTAGTTAAATTGTTTATTAGTTTATGACATTGTTATGACTGATTAATACAAGTAACATTTATTTGTCATGTTTGATTTTTGAAAAGTGAAATGGTAAATCGCATATATACTTAATTTTAGTAAATTTGATAAGATTATAAAACAAGTAAAATCAACATAACAGTAGAGAGTGACAACCCATGATAGAGAGAAATTTTTTTTTTCCAGAACTTTTTTTTAGAATGATTAGAATTGATTTTACCATCATTTTCTCGTATTATTTTTAATAAAAAAAAATTATTTTTGCATTTGTAACTATACTTTAAAAATAGTTTATTTTACCTGAATTGTAGTTTAAAAAATTTTTCTTCGATCAACTTAATTTCACTTTCAGAAAAATTTCATTTGAAATAACTAAAATAAAATCCAAGATTATACCATTTTTTGACTTAGTAATCAGACTTTTTTTTAATTGTAAAACCAAAAAAGCGGATACTTTGAATAAAAAAATTGAAAATATTTCAATACCTTTGAATATTAAAAATAAAATTAAAAAGAATTGATGAAGATTGAAATTTCAACAATTTGAATTCATTTTAATTTTTGAAACTGGATTAAAGTATTGGAAAAAATTTAACCTTGTAGAATTTGAATTTTTCTCAATTCTAAAAGTAAAATTGAAAAATATTGAAAGGAATTCTTCAAACTTTTATTATTGAATTTAATCAGCATAATTGAAAAGTATTGAAAAAAATTCAGAACTTAAAAATTTACATCTCTTTACTCCTCAAAATAAATAAAAAAAGAATTTGCGATACTGAGAATGTCTTAAATATTTATTGACACAAAACAAGTTCTACGGCTTTTTGGTTTTAGGTAAAAAAATTAAAAAACTTTTCAAATCCATCCATGAAGAAAAAAAAACGATAAAAAAATACTACATAACACCACCACCAACTTATATTTCTGATGTAATTATTTTTAGGAATAAGAGGCTCATAAAATAGACAATAAAAAGTATTTTTATTTTTCGAACTCACAGCACAAGATTATTAGACATTTCTCTTGTTGAAACGATTACTTAAAATAAAATGTATGTTTATGTTAATTATAAATTGGTTTAATTATCATATGATGAAATTTTGAATAAAATTTCTTAACTTGCTTCGTTCTTTTTAATTGTAGTAAATTTTTTGTCAATAAAAGTAATTATTCATAACATTTTATGAATACATTTAGTTATTATGAAGTTGTGACTAACTTGAAAGATATTTTTTTTACTTTTTATAAATAAATTCGTGCAATTAATATACTTGAATATCATTTCATGAATATATTCTTTTGCTTTTTGTAATTTTAAAGAATCAATTCATCATTCACATTATCAATCATCCAAAGTAGCAGTAAAAACTATTTAATTATAATTTCGAAATACTAAATGCTCACAACAAAACAACAAACTTATTTAAGAACTTTAGTTAACCATTAAAAAACTGAATAAAACTAACAGAACAAAGTCTTCTGGAAACATAAAAAACATATAGCAGATGCAGATAATTTATAGTAATCATCACAAACGTGTTACTCATACCGTCCGCATTTCACAAAGATTAGATAAGACAAAAAGACGAATACTAGCTAGAGATTATAAATTTGTTATAATTTCGTCACAATTCCGTGTTCTGAATAAAAAATACAAAAGGTGTTTTAAAACGACTTTTTTATTGCAGATAAAGTTTAACGATGTGATAAACAACGTGTTTGTTGAATAACAGTTATGTTTGTTATTTTACAAATAATTTTTCAGATATTTTTTAATTTCTGCAACATTAATTTAATAATTAATGGATAGAAAAATAAAATAGAACAAAAAATTTGTAAACAGTTCTTCCATGGTAAATGACTTTTCTCCTATAAAAAGTTATAGGTATAAAACACTCTACTTATGATGTTTAAATGTATCATTTTATGTATATATAGTATAAATTTATACTATATTGTTATTGTAATGTAGTGACTATGAAAATGAAAGAATGAGACAGCGAGAGGATTTTTGCGGGTTACAGAACCTATTAGAGATATTGTTCTTTTGGATGCGGGCCAGATGATTTTGTTGTTTTAGAACGGTAACGTGCGCGTACATCCAAGGTTTGAAAGTGCGCTTCAATTTTAATGTATCACCGTGAACCGTTTCAAGTTCGCAGTCAATTTGTTGTACGTTGTGAATTTCTCTTGGAAAAAAAAAAAAAAAAAAAAAACAATTGTCAATTTTCAAACTTTGATAAGCCAAAAAGTGAGATTGTTTTCGAGTATTTTTCATATTTTTTACTTTAAAATTGATGTATTTCAATTAAAAATTTAATTTTTTAGAATTATAATCAACATTCGAACATCAGAAGAAAGAAAAAAAAATGTCTAGTATAAACTTTATTTATTGTGATTTACAGAAGAGTTGCATACTTTAAATACTTCACTAGTGAACATGGGAAACATCCAAGGGCTCCATAGCTCAGCTGGTTAGAGCGTCGTGCTAATAACGCGAAGGTCGAGGGTTCGATCCCCCCTGGAGCCACATTTTTTTTTTTTAATTTTTCACTTTGAAAATTTAAAATTTTCAAGTATTAGAAGTTATTGGTTTCAGTCAGATTCCCGAAAGTTGAGTTTTCATCATCAAATCTGCAAGTTTTGAGGCTCTAGGAAGATATTTTAACTATTTTTAGGTGGACGTTCAGCTGTGTGTTTGCCTTTGCTTAGGCTGCAGTTTGTATTCTCCGAATAGCTTCGAAACTATTCGAAATTTATTATCTATGAACTCTTATCATGTATATGTGTTATTCCACGCTGAATCGACCACTTTTAAACCCGAACCTTTTTGATTTGGCTGAAATTTCGTTTTATTTTTGTACCCATTGAAAACATTTTTCAGGAAATTTGTAATTTTTTTACCTTACTCAAAAAAATTTCTTTTTATTTTTTCAATGAACTATAACTTTCTCAAAAATTGACTTAAAAAAATTAATGAAAGTTCTATTGAATATGTTAAAAGGAAGCTTTAATGATGGAAAAAATGTCGTGATTGTTTTCAGAATGTTTAGTAAAGCAACTAAACTATTTACAATTTGAAAAATATTAATCGATACTCATTTTTACGAACATGAACTTATTTATTTTAAGTAAGAAAAAAGAAATTCTCTATCGCAGAATTAATTCCCTTATTTCGGAATATAGTTTTGTTCCAGAACAACTTCAGTATCCCCTAAAAATTTTCTTGGTCCGGGTAAATTATTCTCTCTGTATAATGCACTTAGTTTGAAAAACTAAAAGTGATAAGAATGAATTATACAAAGAAATAAGAAATTTTTAGTTAAAATATTATCCGTGCTTCAAGAAAATATTTATAATAAAAATGATTTAACACAAAGCAAGAATTTTCTTAAGCTACGAAGTTTAGAATTACTAACTCTACAACTACTTTGGTCTTCAAAAATATTTTTGAATTAAAAGTCACTGATTTTTTCCAGTTATACTTATTTTAAATAAGATACAAGCAACAGCGTTTTTTTTTAGCAAAGTTTGTAATTGTCAAAAGTAAGAAGTTATTGATTAACGTCCGTTTTAAAGAAGTTTAGTTTCCTGACGTCCAATCTCATACTCAGTGAAACCTGGATAAATAAGAAACCTCTATACTATAGGACTGAGACGTTTTTTTAACGTATTCAATAACTTGCTTAATAATTAAAGGCATTGATTTTATTATTGACAATTTCCTTTTTGTATACGCTAACCGTTGTGAGAAAATGGGTATGGTAAAGTTTAACATGTATGACACAGATTGTATATGATGGTAGTTTTTAAATTGAAGCGATCTCACGAAAGATTAATAAATTTTTTAGAATTTACAATGACTATCCTTATATAAATGAAAGACCCGAGTGATTGAGAAACCTCTATTGGTGAGAAAAAATCTTAGTCCATTCGAGTCTCACTTATCCAGGTTTTATTGAATACGCTTGTTGTGAATAAAAAAACTGCATCGAATGCTGTTTAAAAAATATTTCAGTTTAAAAATTCAATAAAAATGTTGTTCTTTAAGGATTATTCTTAGATTTTTGAGCTCGAAAATTAAAAAATCAAATAATTGGTAACTTTCAAGCGTTTTTGATTCGAACATTGTAGAAAATTCCAGGGATGGCCTAAAAGATCAACCGCTTTTTAAATTCTTTTCTTGTTACTATACAAAGTATCAGATGTTTTTTTTTTAAACTTGGTAGGGCTAAATTGCCTTTATTTTTTTATTCAATTTTGTCTTATATTGATATTTACCGAGATAATTATTGCCTTCATAAATATTTTCTTGAGCCATGAAAACTGTTGAAAATTGACACAGTTAATTTATAAAAATGTATTTTTATGAATAATTTCAATAAATTTATGTTTAGATAAGTAATAATAATTATTGTTCATGCATTCAATTTGAAAAAATAAGTATGATTGCATGATATTTATATTATACATTAATATCAAATCATCATATCTAATATATTTACATGTTTATTGATGTAAGCTTTTCAAATTCACACTCTCTAAACTTAACACTGTATTTGGTGGAACTTTTACATCGGCCGTGTTATATCCGAATCAATACAATTTTTAACTGTTTTATAATTAAAACATAATGATAATAATAAACAACTTACATTTTTAAGGTTTTGATGAATTGACGAAAAAGTAACTGATGATTCTAACTGACTGATAGAGTTTTAAAGAATCCACATATTCGTTGAATTATAACTAAAAAAAATAACTAAATGTATAGAAAAATGAACCTTATGATGTCTAAAAGATGTTTGACTAGACTAAAATACATTTACAGCGTGACGGGAGGTTTGTGAACTTACTACCGGTTTGAAGAAGTGGTTGAGTAATTCAGACGGTCTATGATTGTATTATGGATGATGATGATGATGATGATGATGAGAACGAGTTGGGTTGAGATGTACTCACATCAAGGGACGTTGCACGACTACTAGATTGTCGCGTT